TACCTTTTCGTCTTCACCAACCCCAAATACTACCTTCTCGTTGAGAACCGCGCAACGCACAGTTGACATTGGAAGAAGGGCCTCTATTTTCAGTGTACTCGATGGCTTCTTTTCCCCTTTTTCTCCATGACCGGTCCACTTCTTGCCTCTACCTTCATTTTCTAGCGAAATAGCCCTATGAATTTGATTCCGGGGTGTTCCTGGAAGTGGCTACTTGCAAAAGGAGTACGCAATCCCTCTAAGTGAATGAATTTCATAAGTTCTACGAAGTTTCCCATTCCTTTTGTACAAGTAACTCCAGCGGTACTCTCTTGGAACTTCCTGAATACATACGGACATGCTTCTGCTGTGAGCCAAAAGGGTACAAGATCGGCAACGATTTTAAAAAAGTAACCAACCATAAAATAATAGCAGCTGAGAGTAACGATGACACCGCGTCGATGCCCACTACCATGCAGACATAACTGACGAACGATAGGGATTTGTTATAAAGACCGTCAGAGCTTTCCACAACACTGAGAGAAAGCAGGTTCCCATCTGAAACACCGTGATAAATAAACAGTTTTGATAAATTAAATAGCGACAAACTTACAGCAGATGAGGGCCAAGAAAGTGCTCATACTATAAATGAGAAGCAAAGACATTTCAAAAATCCTAGATGCTGTATAGGGAGAGATCCATGAACCGGATAGAAGATTTGTGCTGAAACATGAGTGATAGCAATGTTTCCTATCAGTTGACACTTAAAGTCACAGTTCACGATTGGATCACTGAAGTGAAGCCCCGGCTAGAGGAAGGTAGAGTGGACCGCAAATGCACAGCATGTACCGAATTTGTTGCACGAAACGCCCAGCCTGACGGACTGAGGCTCACGAATGATGGGGCTTCACTCAACACTGGGAGTTCTGTCCACAGACTGACGTCGCCGCTTGAGACCGCTTTTATTCGCATCCACGTTCTCCCTCCTCAGCGCCTAATGTCTTTTATTTCGCGCTTGCCTTCTGAACCACCTACTGCCAAGAGGAAAAAAGAACTCTTTCCTCCAGTATTCTCGTTGTTTCCCATTTCCCTCTACTATAGGTCCGATTTGTAACTCTGCTTTGGTCTTTATGCGAAAGAACCATACCTTTTCAAACGTGGGTGTGCCTTTAAGTACATAGGGCGTGCATGAGTTTTCGGATAGGTAATTTAATTAACCTGTATAAAAACCTCGTCATTCCGTCATGGCCCCTCAAGACCACCCGGTGATTGGTATGGATGGGGCATAGGTCCGGACATGCACAACACAGGAATTATGCGAAGCAACCCCCCTCCCCCCAAATGGGTGGAGTATGCGCCGACCAGGTACCAGGCAAGAGGCCCGTCACGCGGCAAGGACGCAGAGTCGGCGGACGAGTCGAGCGCGTGATGTGCGATGTAAGACGTACAATGGTGCATTATATTCAAATTGAACAAATCACTAGAAATCGGTGCGATGCGCCCTTGACTGCCTTCTTATCGCCCGACGGCCTTTCTTTTATCTACCCAGGCGAAGTACATTTGCAAGGCAAATTTGCAAATCAGTCCCTGAACGACCGATGACGTAGAAATAAATAATGGTGGAATGCATGTAGAAGACTGCAATCGCAGCGAGCTGTGCGTTTTGTGACTGTGCAGTAGTCTGTCTGGCTGAACCTCGCTATCGGCCAGTTTATTCCTGACGTGATTGGCCGGCCTTGCCAAGGAACAAGATGAACGAAAAGCAATACGAAAAAATCAATAAAAATACCTGAATATGGCCATAAATAACATCAAAGTTGGATTGACGATCCTAAAAGAAGGGACTGCATGAGATTATTGCAGAATTGAGGCGCTCTAAACGACTTTGATTGAAATGGCTATAGACAAAGCGGCTCTATGTATTGAAGGCGACTACCTACCTAATAAAAAGAAGTTTGCTGGAATTCGGCGGTCTGTGTAAGAAGCATAACGCCACAGTGCCCCCGTCATCAGCTTCAATTTGCCGGAATCTCGAGCTAACCGAAGGGGGCGAATGAGTCTGCAATGGAAAAGGTCTATCATGAGCAAGTGTGAAGCTCATGAAACGCATGGGTCGTGATTGGATGGCCGAGGAACCCACCCCCTCCCCTTGTGGATACTGTCTCTGAATCTCCAACAACAACGGTGATCACACACTCTTGACTCGAAGCAGTGCAGTAATGACTCGCCCACCCTAGTAGTGAGCCTGGCGAAGGCTATGACTGCAGCAGATGAGGCGGCCGACATAGGGCGTAAAATCAGCTGGGGATGGGTGCAGTATCAACTGCTGGCATGGAGCCAACAGTGACTGATGTACTCAGGAAACTCCTTCCTTCCCAAGCCATGCTCCTTCGCGACTGTTGAAAAGGATGATTTATTTTTGCTTCTGTCGATGGTTTCTTCCCTTTTTCTTCACTGGCGTTCCTTTTTCACAATTTTTGCGCTCAACTGAAGCGCAAAAATACCCCCAACTCGATCCCGACCTGCTCCTTTACTTAAAAGGAACCATAGAAGCGAGGAACGAAATTTCCTATAAAGGATCAGAAAATAACTGAACTCACCTTGAACGTCTCAACTAAACGACACGCTTGAGCATTTGTCCGTTCATGAGCATTCTTTGTTTCGTAGCTTAATGTGGCCAGCGATACTGTAAAACTCGAAGTATAGCCGACTTATTACGGGAAAACGGAAAACCAATGTTTTCTGCTTATCAATTCTTGAAGGCAGTTAGTACAATCAAGAGGGAGACGTTCGTTCTCCTTCTAGGTCAGGTCAGCAGAGCTGCACAATTATTGAAGCCTGAAGTTAGTCCAGGCTTCAGCCCAGGCTGAGGCTTATGATTACTCACTGGCTTATGATAAAGGCTATGGTTAGGCTTAGCTTAGTCCCAGGCTTATTGCGAGCAAATCAAAGGTATCCTTTTCTGAGGTGACCTGACTTCAGAAGAAGAACTGCAACGCATCCCAATCAAGTGGGTCTGCACCACGCACGAGCTTACATACCCACGGAAACGGTAGCCGGTGGCAAAAGGGGATGTTGGAGCGCTTCTGCGGCAAGCGCTGCCTTATTTACAGCGCTTGAACTCCGAAACTTAAATAGTACGCCTTCTACGAAACCACTCCCCCCAAGCGCGGTCATTGAAGTTTGTGATACCGTTAGCACAATTTTCTCAGATTACAAACGCACTTTGCATTAAATGACAGTGTCAGGTATTCTGACGGGACGTAAATTATATGCCCTTGCCCAAACAATTACTTCTAAGCTGAGAACTGTTCAAAATCAAAGGAAAAAGTGAGGGCTCCATTTTGTGGGCATTGACGGATTTTTCTGGTTTCTTGCTACCTTTAACCAATAATATCTCTATTCTCACATATCTGATCAACCTTAGCCTTGTTGTACTTAATGCCTTCAATCTCAAGCAGGAAAAATATGATTATCAGATGTGCTGGAAACTTACGATAGTACATAGTTGGATTCTCGTTTTCTGGACATGGAAAAGCAATGTCGCGAAAATAAGTTTTTAGATTTTTTACACGTCCTGAAAGAAAGCATTTGAAATATCTATCAACAATAATCACTTTAGATTTCTTTGGACACTTGCATTACATGCTACTCGGAGTCAATTCAAATTTGACTCCAAATTGAGCTTTAGCTGAAATTGTTATGTTCACGGGTCGTTAAAAACACTTGGCAAGAATTAGTGGATTACCCCACCATCAGAAAATGAGAACGCATCTGGCTCAATTACCAACCGACAATTATTTATGGCACTTGAGAGGTCAGGTCATCCGTTTAGACTTGATGAATAATATATAGTCAATAGTTATGCATATATATTTATTACATGATGAGACGGACTCATGTGGTGTTACAAGTAAAACGCAACCAACGACAAAAAAAGGAACAAGACCTTGCAACAATAAAAATAGTGGCAAATTATGAAGCAAGAGATGATAAAGAAAAGAAGGCAATAACTTACGGGACCAAATACTTATCGATGGAGTGCTTGAAAGCCCTGACATTAATCGGAAATGCTTTGCGCTTGTTGAGTTTAAAATAATCTCTGCCAGCTCTTAGAGGAAAGAAGTGATATCTAACACTATGCTTAGCACGTGGGAGAGAACATTTCATAGGATCACCCCTGGTGATAGCGGGCCTAAGCCAGCATACCAAGTTGATCTGGGCTGAGACCGCATGAACCATGTAAAATTTTATGGAATAATATAAGATCATGTTTCCTTCTCCTGTAGGAGAGGGTGTGTAGGCCGAAATTTTTGTTCCTCCCATGCAAAGGCCCTCAGGCCGAGAATGCTGGCTGGATACCACCATCATACAGGAAACCCTGAGTCCCAGTACAATCGGTGAGGATCATCATTTTCGCGTAAAGAAATTTTGCCACTCTTTGCAGTGTGTGAGAAATTAGTCTTCACACGTGGGAATGGCGACTGAATTTACATTTTACATGTGTTGGTTTTCTTCTTCACTAGCGCCCATTCGCCACTCTTCATATGAATTTCACATAGGAACCCATTCCGAAATAATTATGGCGACGGGAACGCTGTGCTTTTTAAATCCGAGCCGCTTCGAGTTTTTAATGCCTTTCGTGGTGCTGCGATTTGTTTTCAACTGGCTCACATGGAAGGTTTCAAGATAATCAAGCATAATATTTCTTACCTGAATAAAGTACTGCTCCGTGAAACAAGATAGTAACACTAGAAATCAATTGACAGAGATCAGACCGAGGGTTGCCGATAGATACAAGCACAATACGGTTGTGTTCAGTTGCATAATTTTGTAAACAATACATCAATTGATAACAGAGATCGGCTCTTCAAAGGTTGTCACAGAGACGTCGACGATTTACAAACACTGCCAAAAAGTCAAGGGAAAACTTTGACTAATCGTGTCAGAAGAACTATCGTTGGAAGCAATGTTGGGCTGAATTTTTTGTTAATTAGATTATTCGTGGTTTCATACGGTGTTTTTTTTAACATACGGTCACATGTCCAATCACGCTGCGTCCAATGAAAGACGGCGGTTCGTTAGAAGGTGATCGGGTCCTGAATAGTATACTTCATGCAAGGCTGTAAGTAATGCGAGGTAACCAGCTGGACAAAATGGAGACCGTCCAAAAAGACCTGCCAGGAAGATCAAACTTGAAGGCACCGTGCATGTAAAAGCGTTCCTCAATTTGACCTCAAACCCGCACCTTAAAGGCAAGCTCCGGGATAAAACTGGTGATAAGAGCGCTTCGTAGTGATGACTGAGCTGCGGAACGACCTGAAAGTGGAAAGGAAAGCAAGAGAAATCTTTGGGAACGCTGAAATTAAGGCCTTAACCTTCAAAAGGTCGGATGTGGTACGATGGCGAGGCAGGGCGGTCAAGAAGACAAAACACGCGAGAGATCACGCCGTTCGAGAGAGCACGCCGATATCGAGGTGGGTGGGAAGCGTTGCAACGGGGTCGATGGTTGCAGGCCCGTAAGGATTAGCGCCCTAACCGCGCAATTTTTGCGACGAAGCTGGAGTGATCTAGGTAGGTACGGACCTTACAATTTCCCTCGCGGTATCCTTCCCACAAGTCGGGCTAATCCCGGGGTTTGCCTTTAAGCTCAGTGTTCTCTTAGTATGATAAAGAATTCAGCGTTGATTTTAATAAGAAATCCGAAAGTCTACACAGGCTATAAGTAATTTGAATTTGGCTGGCTCAGCCCCTATTATCACAGGGTTCTAGGAGGTGTGGCTTTTCAGCAGCTACTTCTTCTCGAGAATTCTTTTCGTGGCCTCCAACTTCGTACTTCGTCTTTTATGATACCACTTGATGCGTCCATACAAGAAAAAGGAAGCAACAAATTTCCGTGCACGGTGCCTTTGAGAACCTCCTATGCAGTTGACAATGGACGAAATTACGATGAACAAAGTTCGCGCCTAGGGGTAAGACAAACAGACGACAAAGAGGTGAAGTATATTCCTGGATGAATGCATGCTTGCCTCAACTTCAATTTGCAATGAAGCGAAGATCGTTTTGAGAACCAGGCTTTTTGACCAGTAGAAGATTTGGCTAGACATCATATTTAGCCGGGACTAGAACCTCTACATAGTAGCTTTGCAGACATCTCATGGCCTTCAAAAAGGAGGCGAAGGACATGTTAGTCCCCCTCGTTGCTTCACCTTTCCAAGAAATTCCTGTTGCACTATTCTGTTTCTATTCCTTATTTGGAGACGATTATAAAGAAGCTGCTCACCTGGGTCTTTGACGAGTGCGTTAGCAATGAGAGCTCGCCTCTGAGCACTTTTGGACAAATCCTGAAGCTTTTCATGTCCATATCCCAGCAAGTCAAACTGCCGCAACAACATGTGTACCTAAAAATCTGAATTGTTGTTGGACACGAAATCACTAACATAAGTTGATTTCTTACCCTCTTATCAATTTCTTTCGACGGCAGAGAATTGCCAAAAGTTAATGCGGCCGTGTAATAGAGAAATGAGCGCACTGTCATGAAGCCTGGACACCAATGACGTCCAGATAGAGAGGCACATAGCTTTTGAAATCGTTCACCTTTCAAACTATAATTAAATGCGGATACAGAAAAATGGAAAGATGGCGAAACAGGGTAGCTGGGCGATATCGAAACCCTGCAGTCACACTCCGACGTCTGACAAGCTTTTCCTTGTGACGCCTAATCGTGCAGTCCATAATTTTTGATGGTAAGGACCCCGAAAGTATTTACAATGGCTGGTGAACTATATATTTTATGGCCAAAAGTGCAGAAGTGCAGTTCTCTTGGCAAGTCGGATGCGTGGCGCATCCTGGAAAGCACTGATAATTGCCGAGGGTTTTTCATGTTTCATGTCACATTCCGCTCCATAGTACCCTCCTCGATTCTGAGCTATCCGCATCTCCTGCTCTACGCCACGTAGGCAGCGCTGCTGGGTAAACAGCAAAGGTGAGCCTAACTCTTTATTACGGTCACGACGTCACGACAGGTGCTGCTCTAGTACATTGATGGCTAGCGTCGCGAGCTTACAATTAGACCTGCGTCAACTCGGCGCTTTGTGGCGTCACTGGCGAGGGATCTGCGACGATAGGATATAATCAGGAAAAGACTGCGTGGGATGCACTTGAATGCGAGGAAAGTGGTCCTGTAATAATTGACGTGATGAAATGACCCACCAAAAGAAGTTGTGAAATACAACTATCATGGATTTTCCCACTCGATCAAAGAACCAATCAAGTTTCGAGCTAGTTACTTCAAGATACCTTTGAAGTTATTACAATGACAGGGAGGACCACTATCCTGATTAAGAATTTGAAAAAAAAAACCGAGCAGAACAACATGAACGATGGGTGAGGATGATTAATCTCCCCCCCCCCTGCCAACCGATATTGGATCGTGTGCTGAGTCATCGCCCGTGCTGGTCGACTCTTTGTGCTGGTCAACTCCGTCGCCGGGTCATTCGTCCCGGCCTACCCGTCGTCAATTGTGTCTCAGCGACTGTCATCGCCGATCTCGTCCGGAGTCTTAACGTGAGTCCGATGGAAATGGGGCGTGCCGGAGACAATCCTAATTAACTCGAGTTGACCGATATTTCTGGTTTGTGTGTAATGATGCTTGTTCTAGATTTGGTGCTCAAATTGCTAATATTGGTTTAGTAGTGGTAACGAAGTCCTTTTGGGTGGACAGAGAAACTCGTTTTGATTGGACGTTGTTTCCATTATTTTGGAAAAAAATATTGCTTGTCCCGTGACGGGTTTCCGCCGATTTTGACTCTAGAACCCAAAAGCGCATATCTCAGTTCAAACGATGCGCCTTTGCTCGAAATAAAAACTGATTACAATTTCCATACTTTTGCCTATAGAGAAAAAGTTTGATTGATCCACTATTTTGGAAGTGCTTAGAGTTCTGTGATTTAAAACTCGACAAAGGTCGTTCATTCCACCACAGTTGTTCCAGAGCGCTAAATCTCTTGATAAGTAGACATTTCTAAGTGTCAAAGGAACGCGATAGTTGCAAGCAATGGCTCTCGAACCAATGCTCAGTAGATGATCGCAACCTTGCTCCTGCACATTCTCCGTAGCAAGTTTTGAGGGAAACATGAACACAGTGCAAAGGAGGGCAGGCTATTGAGTAGTCCTAAAACTCCTAAAGAGAAATTGGAAAGGAAGTACAGTATTAGCAGTTTCTCAAAAGTGACCCAGAAATAAAGCACCCAAAAGTGAGGTATAAAAACAGCGGGAACTTTCCGGACAACCCAGTATCTTGGGAGTGTGCGATAGTCGACATTCAAGCACTTGACGCTTTATTTAGTCGTATATCCTAACATTTATCCCTGCTCGTCCATTTCTAATGCCGTTAGATTTCTGAAAATTTGCCGATGTAATTTGTGAATTTATGCTTTACTTGATCTCAAATGCAGGTAATCGCTATGGAATCATCCGGTCTGTCGTGTGAGTGATTGTTGAATGGGTACGACTGTAGAAAAGTGTCACTCAAAAGAGAAAATTGTGGTAAGTTGAAGTGAAAATTTTGGTCTGTTTGTATGTGTTTTTAGTAAGTTCTTATTATTAAATCTGCATTCGTGTATACGTAGTATAACAAAAAACTAAGTGATTCGTAAAGTTGTTCGTATCTGTACTCGCCTGCGCGACGTCGCCATTTGACCGTGCCTGCTGAATTGACTTCTTATTGATTAGTCAATTTCCTTGCTCGCTTGTTCTGCAATGGATTCTGTTCTCATACAAAGTTGCCTTTCAACTTACTGTTTTTCAAATTGGTAATTGAAAATGATGTCTAGGTCGTTCGTTATTTGCAGGAGAATTTTGACCTTGCATGTTAGCAAAATTATTCTGGTAGAACACGTTCATGTCCTTTATATAATTATTTCGCACCTAATTTTCAAAAAGCGAGAGAGCTATTCGGGTGGCAGACCATGCACCAAATGACCACCTTCACAAAATGTTGGTTAATATGTTCTGCCTAATTTAAATGATTAGTTTGTTGCACTGTTGTATCTTATATCATTGTCGCTTTAACTTACAACTGCTCATTTTACCAGAGGAATCACTTAGCATTCCTACTAACTCTACTATTACTGGAGGCCACTGTCATTTGTTGTGTTTGGTCTCACCTGACGATCTTTCTCTAGCGTTCGTGTAAGGAATATTTAACGTGACTTATTGACTCACTGCGAAAATTTACAATCCTTTCACTAACTAACGTATTTCAATTATTGTTCGATGGAGTTTATGACGTCTGCAACGAACACCAGAACTTTGTCCATTCAGGATACAGGAAGTTGATAAGTTTTAGTAATAAACAATCTACATTCAAGTCTGAGGTTCAGTCCTTCGTTTTTGTTTTATTCTTGTTTGTATTGCTTCCTGTCTATTTCTTTTTTGAGGGGGGGGCGCTTTTCCGCGCCCGGCCCCTCCATCATGTCTGACAACTTGCTCTTGCAGACGCCAGCTCCTTTTGAATGCAACAAATGAATAAATGTATTAACATTAAGATAGATTCCTTAGGTGTTGCATCGCTCTCGTCCTTCTTTCGCTCACTTTTAGACTTTTGGGCAGCCGCTCATTGTTAGCTGATTTTATCAGCGGCCTTCCTATTTCTTCGAATTTAATGGCGCATTCCCGTACAGCTCAGGGGGGGCCAAAAAAAAAAAGACATTTTGCCTATGTCGGACTTCGGCCTTTTTTCTTCGCAGAGATTGCCGTCGTTGACGGGAGTTCCTCAGCAGAGTATTCCCTAAGTGTCCCTCTATAAGTGAACGCAGGCCCTCCTTCACTGCCCTCACCGTCTTCAGAATATGACGTCATCTGTCACCGTCGTCAGGCTCAAGGAGGTCTACCGTAAGAGCTTCAGCCTGAAGCTCTTACGCAATTTCGTGAATCGATTTAATGTTGGATAGTTTTCTAGAGGCGTTAGCTCCCACTATACAAATCCCCTCGAAACGAGCTTTCCAGTAAAGGTCGTTATGGTACACGATCCTTCGAAGACCCCATTGAGCTCGACCAGTGCACCATGTTTCCAGGGCAAATTCTTCTGTTGCCGTCCACGTGGGTGGCCAACATGAAGATTTTCTTATAGAATGAAATGTGCTCTTCAATATTAAGTTGGGAACACTCGGTCTCAATTGAGCAAAGTGTGCTTAAATCTGAAAGTGGAGACAAAATGTCTTTTTTTTATTGGCCCCTCCTGTATATCGGCCGGATTGGAACGAGTTCCACCCTATCAAATGCAAACTACTGAAATTTTCAATTCTCACAGATTCTTTCCAGTTCCTTGAGCCTATCAATATTCATCGTACCCCCTTCGTTTTGCTTCGTTACGACTCGAAACTGACTAATTTTCCTAAAACTACATGAGGTGAATTCTACTCCCAAAATGAGTGGCTACGTCACAACACGATCAATCTTCATCAGAGAAGTACACTCATTTCTCCTTGAGAATTGACACTACGCACATCAGAATCCGAGAAAATATTCAGCGCTGAAATTCGAATGTTGTGAGCAATAGCTTTAGACCAGCAGAGCTCTCATACCGCTGAAATGTTGATTAGTACGGGGCCATAACCGATTGCATCACAGACAATCATTTGACTCTGGATGGCGAAACGTTTGCGTGGAATTGGAATATCTGTAACTTCCGGCCTCGCCTCTAAGCATACAACGCCACCATATTGCACCTTTGATGTCTGGTTGATTCGCATAAGGGGGATACAATCAGAATACGACAAGGGTGCCAATTAAGGCGTGAACTTCTCCAGAAATTGCCTCAAATGACACATCTCCTAGCAAACGGGTAATTTGCGGAGGTGAGAACAGGTACGAGCAGCTGAAAACGTCAAATGAACCCCTATTTATCAAATGACGTCTTCCCATAAAGTTGCAGCATGCAAAACTCACCATATCGCTCCACTGTGCATGTGAAAGTGACATTGCGAACTTCAAGAATATGCCGCTCAGATCGGCCGCAGAACATCTGCTGACAGCTGATCTATGATGAAGTCAATAAGCAGAGCTCCCGCCAGGAAAGCAAGGTCCTCCAAATGACCTGATCAGAGAGAAGATATGCTGCACTAAAAAAAGAACTGTGTGAAAACTGACAGATTACGGTACAATACATTACGGGTTGTTACACAAAATGGACGAGGGAAGTATTTGAAGTTTATGTGATATCTGTCCAAATCGATCTGGTATGCGCCAGGTATACGACTTTCTCCAAAAAAGAGAAATCTTTCTTCGAAACATGCCCAGAGAATTGGTTTGACGTTATTTATTATTTATTGTTTATTATTTATTTACTTTTGGAAACGCGAACGGAGTCCGCGCGACATACAGCAGGGAACAGAGCGTTCTTACTGCCATGAGATAGATGAAGATCCAGGTGATGCTCATATCTATTAAGAAACCCCTCAACTAGCCCATCCAGAAGAAGGAGGGTTCGGCTGGCCCAAATATGGACGCAGAGTGAGAGGAAGTGGGGGTGGCAAC